ACCCCCTTCTGAGTCTCCAAGGTCCATTATATCACTCTGTATACCTTTGCACACCCATAGCTTAACTTCCACTTATAAGTGACAACATGATGGTATTTGGTTTTCCGTTCCTGAGTTACTTCACTTAGAATAATGGCCTCTGGCTCCATCCAAGTTGGTGCAAAATACATTATTTTGTTCTTTTTTATGGCTGAGTAGTATTCTATGGAGTATATATACCATATTTTCTTTATCCGTTCCTTGGCCAATGGGCATTTAGGTTGGTTCCACATCTTTGCAAATGTGACTTGTGTGGCAATAAACAAACGCATGTAGTTGTCTTTTTGATATGTTGACTTCTTTTGCTTTGAGCAGATATCAAGGTAGTGGGATTGCTGGATGAAGTGGTAGATCTACTTTGAGTTCTTTAAGAAATGTCCATGCTGTTTCACATAGAGATGGTACTTATTCTTACCAGCAGTACATAAGCATTCCCTTTTCACCACATCCATGCCAATATCTTTTTTTTTTTTTTTTGACTTTTTAATAATGGCCATTCTTACAGGCCATAAGGTGGCATCTCATTATAGTTTTAATTTGCATTTCCATGATGATTAGTGATGTTGGGCATTTTTTCATGTTTATTGGCCATTTGTATATCTTCTTTTGAGAAATGTCTGATCATGTCTTTTGCCTACTTGATGGGGTTATTTGTTTTTTTTTTCTTGCTGATTTATTTGAGTTCCTTGTAAATTTTGGATACTAGTCCTTTGTTGGATGCATATTTCTTGTAAGCTCTCTGATAGGGCGGGGGCTCAGAACACATCGGATTTGTCTCAGTTTCTCCTACATCTTGCTCTTTCCTACCTCAGGGCCATTGCTTATGTTAATCTTCTGCCTGAAGAGCTCTTTCTCCTTTTCCTGTTTGGCTCCTTTATATCTTTCAGATATCAGCTCTTAAACAAGACCTGCCCTGACCACCCTTTCTAAAGCTTTTGATATTTGTCTCCTTCATATCATTTATACCATATATCTATAAAATATATGGTATAAATATATATATAAAATATATGG